CCGGGGATTGAACTCAGGCCCTTACGCTTGCCAGGGAAGTGCTTATTTTGCTGAGCCATCTCCCCACCCACCCCCCATATTTCCTATTTTTAAACACTTAAAATATGAAAAGCTGTATCTTCCCCATAATCTTAAGTATTGTGTTTTTTTTGAGTTTTTGGGTGTTGTTGTTGTTGTTGTTGTTGTTGTTGTTGTTGTTGCTGTTTGGTACTCGGGACCTTACACTTGTCAGGCAGGAACTCATGCCACTGAGCTGTATCCCCAGCCCCCTTAAGTATTCTTTACATCTCTTCCTTCCAAAAAAAAAATTGTGAGAATTTCCTTTTAGGTATAAAAAAAGGATTTTGTTGCTTTTCACAGTTTGACAAAGTTTGACTTTTTCAGGTGGTGTATCTAGACCATTTACATGTAAAATAATTACTAACAGGTTTAACTAAAATCTACTGTCTGGACCATTGTTTTCTGTTTAGTCCATCTGTCCTTCATTCATGGAGAAGACACTATGAGGGCATATGGACTTGTGTTCGTGGGTCTCATGGGTTTGTAGACCCCAGCTAACTCACAAATAAAAATTTAGTTTTTCATTTAGCTGATTTTTTTTTCTTAACAGCTAATATGATGGCCCACAACTTCCTTTATGTTCCATTAAAGGTGAGCTCATCTCACCCTATCTTTCCTTAGAGTCCAGATTTTTTGCCCTGAAACTTCAGCTTTCAAAGAGCACAAGAAAAGTTATATTTTAAGAACTATCCAGTTTCTTGTTATTTTGAGAATAGCTCCCTCTCCAGACTTTACACCCTAGTTGCCCTGTCTTAGTTTGGGCTGTTATACTAACGTACAACCAACTGGATGGTTAAAAACAAACAAAAAAATATATTTCTCATAATTTTTGGAAGCTGGAAATCAGAACCTACAATGCTAGCACAACTAGTTCCCAGGGAAGGCTTTCTTCCAGGTTGCAGACAGCTAGCTCTTCTTGTATCTTCACATGATAGAAAGATAGCAAAGAGCTCTCTCTCACACTGTTCTGTTTATGAGTTACTAAACTCATTCATGAGAGCTCAGGACTCCTGACCTAATTACCTCCCAAAGGCTGACCTGAAAATGCCATCACATTGAAGGTTAGTATTTCAATATATAAATTGGGGACAGGGTGAGTGGACAAAACATTTAGCCCACTATATTCCTCTTATGCCAGTTTTAAAGGTCATAATATCAGGATGCTAACGCAATTTAATTTAAATACGAGTGCTTGCTTTGGCAGCTCATATACTTATATTCATATTTAAACACTTAAATATGAAGTCTCCTAAATGTGGTAAAATTCTATTCTCAAATGGAGAATGGTGGGTAGCAAGTAAATAAATAAATAGATAGACTAATGCTCTAAAACCAAAAAAAAAAAGTATGTGATTCCGAAAGGGAGTTTCTAAAGGAAAGGGGGAAAAAAGGTTTTTAAAAGAGAATAAGAGATACAGTGGTATATGAAATGTGGTTAAAAAATGGTTTAACAAGATGGGAAGATTAACACAACTGCTAAATTAAGAGTTATTTTGTTAGGTTTAAGATTTCCTGCCTACTGAACCATCAAAAGTAGTATCTGGATGAAATAAAAAGTATCAGCCACAAAACTCAAGAGGTTGCGAAGTGCTGACTTTTTGACAGTGTCGTGTTTCTTCCAGATTACTCCAGGAAGCAAGGCGGCGGCGGCCAACCTGTGTCCTGGAGACGTGATCCTGGCTATCGATGGCTTTGGTACAGAGTCCATGACTCATGCTGATGCACAGGACAGGATTAAAGCAGCCGCACACCAGCTGTGTCTCAAGATTGACAGGTGCTCCTTAGTGATGGCTAAATTTGATTCTTTTTTTTTTTTTTTTTTTTTTTTTTTGCAAGAGAACCTGAATCAGAACTATAAATAGTTTCATCCTCCTACTGTGAGTGCGACAGGACCTGGCATTCTTACTGGCTTTTATATATCAACCATTTTATTGTTCACTGCAGTCAGTCAGTCTAGCAGTTCTGGGCAAATCATTTTGAGAAAGAATTCTCTGGAGTGTCAAAATAGTAGAAGAGGCCCAATGGATTATTTTCTTTCTTTATCAATCCAGTTAATTGACTATGAAGATACTCATCCACTATGTAAACACAGAACAATATGACTAATCATTCTGTGGCTCTCAGTGTGGTAAAGAATGGAATGAAGGTGGACATGGTGACACACACAGCACTCGGGAGGTTGAGGAGCAGGATCTTTGTGAGTTCAAGGCCAGCCTGGTATACAAAGTGAGCTCAAGGCCAGGTTGAACTGTGTAGTAAGTCCCTGTCACCAAAAGACAAAGAAAAGAAAGGAATGACATGTAAAGATGTTCCTAAAAGAAACTTGACTCACCCAAATGTGATCATGTTAGAATTCATTGTTAATTTCCTGTTTGTCACTGGCTGTTTTGTACAGTATTCAGCTCATAGGATCATGAGGTATGCTAATGCATACGTAGGGACTGTATTAGATACTAAAATATTTCTTTTTTTTTTTTCTTTGCGCAACAGGGGTTTGAACTCAGGCCCTTGCGCTTGCCAGGGAAGCACTTATTCCACTGAGCCAGCTCCCCAGCTCCCACTAAAATATTTCTGGCAAAAAACAAACAAACAACAACAGAAATTCAACTCAATTTCTTATCATCAAAGTAAATGACATCCACATTGTATTTCCTTTTCTTTTATGGAGATGCTTCCAAAAGGATGAAACCCAGCCATGAAAATGATGACTTGGTTACAGTGGTTGTTTGCATGTTTGTCCTGTTGCTACTGTATTGACAATTTCTGCTGTTACAGAAATCAAACAACCACGGTGTTGAGGAGTGAAACAGTCTCTTCCTTATTTATGTAGAATCTGTACTTTCCCCAAGCACACAGTCCCTTAGGAGCCACAGGGTCCCAGACAGACACAAGAAAAGCGTTAGGCAAAGCCCAGTTCCTTCATGCCAGCAGCAGATATCCATCTGGCCAGTCCCTTCCTGTCGCCTGTGGTGGCCTGGGTAGGATAAGAGGGAAGAAGGGGAAGCCTAAGAAGTTTGCAGGTACCTGCAGGGTGATCGTCCAGAGTCTCCCTCTTCTGTCCTATTTCCCACATACATACAGGCCACCTTTTTCCAGAAACTGCCCAATGTATTCTGGGTAGTCTGGGTGCATTCCAGATTCTCCCAAAGGATATTAAACAAGTAAGAATAATTGGATGGAAAAATCCAGAATAATAAGCAAAAAATAATCCCTTTTGCTTAAATTAGTAAGGTTTCCTAGTATTTTCACAAACATACTGGGAAATTGAAGTACACTAAAAGTAGAAGTCCCAGTTGAATTGAAACTTTACGAACTTTATTTTCTTTACAGGGCAGAAACTCGCTTGTGGTCCCCACAGGTATCTGAAGAAGGGAAAGCTCATCCTTTCAAAATCAACTTAGAGTCAGAACCACAGGTATGAATTCTGGAGTAAATGATATACTCGTTGTATTTCCTTTTCCTTTAGGGAGATGCTTCCAGAAGGGTGAAGTGGCAAACATAAAAATTGGAGCAAGTCACCCGATGAGGTGGTGGTGTGTCTTTACTCTGAGATTAATTTATATGATTCATGTTTTCTTATATTGAGAAAAGATTTGTATACCTAAGGGACCATCTTGCTAAAAGGAAGCATGTGCTCATCAAGAAGACTTTAGCTAAGTCCACCACATCCACTAGCTTTTTTCATTTCTTATGGTAGACTTCTGCCAGATGGTTATGAGGTAATCTAAGAAGTTGAACTTGTTAAAACAAAGCAAAGCAAAAATAAGCTCGCCCATTTAAAGCAGGTGTCTCTAATCTAACAGTGATTGTGAAGCTCCATCCTTCAACTCTTCACCCAGATCTTCCTGTACATCCTTTATTCTCAATTCTGGCCTTTTATAATCAAATTTACCTCACAAAAAAAAAGATTTGTATATGTTATGAGATATTCTGCCTGTGCAGAATTACAACAGATAAAGGATTTTCCCTTGAGGCAGCTCAAACTCATGAATTAATTAATCTAATAATCTGATGCTTTTCTGACCAAGTCAATATTCAAAAAGTCTAAAAAAGTCAAATCTATCCTCATTGTGACATACTGAAAAACTCTAGTTAAAAACAGAGTTTTAGAAATGGTCCTTAGAGAAATGAATTTAATATCCCTTTTGAAACCAGTTTTCCTACTAAGGGGATTAGATATTTCCAGTGTATATTTTTTCTGCATATTTTGAAAAAGATGAACTGAAAACATTTACAATTCATGCTTTGGCACTATTCCTCCTTTCAGGATCAACTCCTAACTTGTCCTTCTCGTATTCTACTTGTCTCTATAATTCTGATTTTTTTACAGATTACATAGATGTAGAATAACATAAGTGCAAGTATTTCACAGGGATTCTCAAAGATTTAAGAAAAATTAATATGAGCAAAAAGCTTGGTACATTGAGCTGTTCATATAGTTATTCATGGATCTCATTAATGGATCTGTTCTTATAGCTCTTCATGGATCTCATTAATGGATCTCATTAATGAGGTACCCCTCTCCTCCAAGCTAAAATACTGGCCTCTCTGGTCAGTGAAGTCAGAAGCTGCATATGTAACAAGGCTTCCTACCCTCATCCCCATGTATTATAATGAAGGCTGCCATATACATTACTATTATATCATAATGGGGATTCCTTCCTTATTAATGTTACATTGCTCTTTACAATTACATTGCACCAAAGCTGTATATTCAGTTAAAATACAATCATCCCAGAAGAAGAAATATGTTGGATCATCTTTTGAGGGAATGAATCAGTAAGATTCTTTTCCTGGACTTTTAACTAAAGGGAAGGTACAGACTGAACCTAAAAACCACAAGGAGTAGACTGGGGAGATAGCTCAGTGATCTAAGTGCCTGCCTACCAAGTGCAAGGAGCCGGGTTCAGTCCCCTGGTATCTACCACATGCCATGCTGGCCCAGCACTGAGCCTGCTGCTGAAACTGGGCATGGTAGTGCATGCCTGTAATCCCAGTGCTGGGAAGGCTGAGACAGGAGGATCACTATGAGTATCATCTGCATAGAGAGACCCTGTATGAAATTAAACATACACACACACACACACACACACACACACACACACACACACGTAGCAAAAGGAGAGTAAAACAGGCCCAGAGGGGATAAATAAGACAAATATTGGTCCAGGGAGATGGCTCAGTGGAATAAGTGCTTCCCTAGCAAGCACAAAGGCCTGAGTTCAATCCCCAGTTCTGCAAAAAAACAAAACAAAACAAAACAAAACAAAACAAATATTCATGAAAACAGGAACCAGGTGTCTGTTCTTTCTCCTTTGCCTCTCTCACACATAACTCCTGTAGACACTCAAGGAAAGGACTTGGAGGCTTGAAAGATACAGTGAATTTAACATTGGCCAGAATCAGCCTGAGAATCTGTTCTGAAAAACTGTTCTACCATCACCTCCAGCTGTTACTCTGTCAAAGTGACCCTGAAGTTGAGAGGGATATTTAGGTCAGGTAATCGACAGATAAGCAAATGAACAGGATGGGTAATTCAGGTTGAGCATCCCTTACTGGAAATGATTTTCGGATCAGAAGTGCTTTGGTTCTCAGATGTTTTATTTTTTAATATTTTCACATACATGAATGAGATAGTTTACATATGGGACTGAATTCTAAGCATAAAAGTAATTTTTAGATATACCTCATGGCCTCATAGTAATGTTACACAATAATTTAATGTGCCTATATTTTAACTTCAGTTCATCTCTTGAAATTGGGTATAGAATTCTCCACTTTCGTCATTACATCATTGCTCAAAAAGTTCCCATTCTGAGACATTTCACATCTCAGATTTGGGAATGAAGACTATTTAGTCTGTAGATATAGTGATTTGTGATCTGAATGCTCATGGCGGCTCATTCTGGCGTGGTAGGTGGCTTAGCGAACACTAACGCCTCTAGTCAACAGTTTGATGACGGAAAGTCTCTCATGACAAAGCTGTCACCTGTATATGTCGCTTTGCACTTGTGCATCATTTGTATAAAACCTACTTTCTCCCTCCTACACCCATCAATTCATCATGTAGAGGCAACACAAGAGAAAAAGAGACTCTCTGGTGCTTAAAAAAAATGAAAAGAAACATAAGTCTCTGACACAGATGTTTATTGACTACCTAAATTCTTGTAATCTCCACCACAAATGGGGTGGAATTCTGTGTTTCCTTATCTACACACAGCACACATACTGTACTACACCCTATTCACAAATTGTTTTTTTATTCAAAATGTCACCTAATTTTGAGACCCCACTTCCTCAATGTGAGATGCAAGGTATGTCACCAAGAAGACAGACTTGATCAAGTATCAAGCCCCAGTGATGCTTACTCATGGCACCTCCTAAATCTGACCTCTAGAAGAAGCTCCTTTTGCAAATCAATGGGCAATGACTTATGGCTATGATTAGCCATATCATAACCCATTCTTATGATTATTTTAAGACTTGGATTGTAATTTTTAAATATTCTAGTCTTTTTTTTTTGGTAGGACAGTTTCAACAATTAACACATTGCATACATTTTTCCTAGTGGTTAATTAAATATTCTAGTCTTTTGTCAATCATATATTAGCCCATATATCCTGGATTTAGGAGTTGAAAATATGAATATTTATGATACTATACTTTTGGGGGGCTTACCAGGGATCAAATTCAGGACCTTGTGCTTGCCAGGCAGGTGCTTATGGCTCTGACCTATCTCCCTGGCCTCTTATAGTATAAAAAGGTGAAACAATATAAGTACTATAGCAATCAGAAGGAGCCTTTGAAAATTCCTTTCGCTTGAGCCATGACTGATTCTTACCGGAATCTTTTTCATGAGGCCCATGTATAAAGGGCACCAAGAGAAGAACAGTTTCAACACATTTCCTAATGAATAGAATGACCTCTATTCCTGTGAGACTCTTAGGCCAGATTTGTAAATCACCAGGTCACAAGATTTGGTATTTCAGGGCAAACATTCTTTGTAAAAAATAGCTACATTTCAAGGGATCCCTTACTATATGAAAATCTCATGGCATGAACTACAGGATGTGTGAGAAAGCTCAACAGTGACTTTAACTTATAGAACAAGAGTAGAGGGAAACCAAGTTGCAGTTATTTTTAAGGACAACAATGGTGCATCAGTGTGAGAAGCAAATGCCATTAATATATTAAGCTTTAAATTGCCTTTGCAGATAATTAGTAAAACGCATGAGCGTTACAATACTTGAGTTCTTATGTCTCAACTGAAGTCGAATTTTCATTTTTGCAAGTATTGTGACATTTGCTTTTAGAATAGAATACTTTTTCACTTAAAATTAATTTAAACTAATTTGAAACTAAAGACAAACTGTTTTAAACTAATTATCTCTCTATTGAAAAGGAAAATACCACATCCTACCATTTAAATATAGCCATAAATAAAATACTAATCTATGTATTACTGATGTTTCCCCTACATATAGATTCGTGCTTGGGGATTTTGTCTTATACAGTTATAGCAACAATTGATATAATCTAAATTTTTTCATCTTACCACATTATCACTGAGCATTTAAATTTTAATTTTATGAATTTAGACTTCAATATTAAGCTGAAAGGGGACCTGATTTAGATCAGCTCACAGCAGTGGAATAAATTCCTTCTGTACAATCCTGGAGAGTTTTTAGTGAGTGTACACATTTTTCTAAATAACATATTGCTTTAAACTAAAGGTATATAGCTGGTACTTCTTCAAAGCTTACATTCTCCAACAAACTACTACTTTCATTTTTGTTTAAAGTTAGTTGAGGGGCTGGAGAGATGGCTCAGTGGTCTAAAGCACCTACTTGGAACAAGCTTGGCAAAGCACAGGGACCGCGGTTCAATCCCCCAGCACCACATGCCAGCCAGCTGCGCCCCCTGGTGGGCTGAGCTGGCCACACACACACACACACACACACACACACACACACACAATAAATGTTAAAATAAAAAAAAATTATAAAGTTAGTTGAACAACTTAAAGTATAATCGACCTGTTGTAGTAGAAAAGATGCTTTGCAGAAACAATTTGTCTCATTTTTTAATGTATTTAGTACAGGATCTACAGAGTCTCACTACACAGATCAGACTAGTTTTTTTTAATGTATTTTATAATTCATTTCTAAGCAAGGATGTTCTCATCATTTTCACATAAGTGACTGCATGTTTGCAATAGATTTGATAAGGGAGATGTTCTTACAAACTCACAGTTTATTTTCATAAAATTAATCTATAATGTTCTGATAAGTTAAAAGCAGCCTACACAAAATAAACTTTTATTTTCACCATTTCCTCCAAACTCTACCTCATGAAACATAGGAAACGTTGAAATAGATCATTGGAGGAAAAAATGACTTTAAGGGTGACTTTATTTTTCATCTAAGGAATGAATGTAAGGAATGATTGTTTATAAATGATAAGGATGATTTAGGTTTTTTGGTTTTGGTTTTGTTTTCACCAGGGATCAAACTCAAGACCTGCAGCTTGCCACACAGGTGCTTATGCTCCTGAGCTATCTCCCTAGCCCAAAGATGATTTTTAAAAAGTATTTTTTATTGTGTCTTAATCCAATATATGTTCACTTCATTTTCTTTTATTTCCCTATCATTTTTATATGAAAAAATATAAATAGGGAAAGAAAAATAAACTATGAATGAAACAAACTTTTTCTGATTGAGATAGTAAGCACTTGAATCTTTATCTCAGATTGTATCTTGAGTCTTTCTCCAAGTAAGAAGTTGAAGGTGGAATGGCTTTGAATGCTGTCACTGTTGCAGTCATTAAAGGAGACCATCGTCAATAATTGCATTCTCTCAGTATCACAGGTTTCTGTCAGGTTATGTAGCTTTCACTGTGGTAGCTGTATTAGTTGATCAACTCAAAATAGTAGTCCTTAATATAAGCTCCTATCATTGAAAAATATTTTTAAATTGTTATCTTGAATGATTACTTTTTGAATTCCTAAGAGATAACACAAAGCCATATTTTTCTGGGAAGAATAAACACAAGAGCTGGACTATGTTAACTGCTATATAAATTTTTTACTGATATTTTCTGTCACTTGTGATTTTTTCCCCAAAAAAAGTAAAAGGAATTAAAATATGACAGTAAATATCTGACTGGTTTTGTCTTTTGATTCTGTTTGACCATCAGCAGTGATGTAATGCTTGGATAGAACGTCCCCTCTTTGTGCCATGCTTAAATCCCTTGTTTACCTTGGTTGAATCTACTTCATTGTGCTTCAGGGAATGACTCCAGAATCCAATCAACTAATGCTTTGCAAAGCTTCTGTAAAAATATTTGAATGCTGTATTAGAAATACTTCCTTTTATGACCTGAATGGAAAGTAAAGGGAATTTCTGTTAACAAACTGTACAGCTTTGGCTTTTGCAGTCTGTATAACCAAAACTGAAAATGACCAAAAAAAGGAACTTGAAACTGATTATGTGTTGCTATTTAGAAGTACCACTGGAGACTGTGTGCACAAACATTTTCAGAGAAGTCGCCTCATTTACAAGACAGTCACCGTCCACTTTTGTGCATAATTTTAAGACTAAGAAAAGAAATAAAAACAGAAGTTTTTTTCCAAAACACCCATCATATTATTTTAACTAATCATTTAAATTTAAATGTTTTATCAAGATTTTTAAAGCACCTCAGTACTTTTTTTCTTCCTTTTTGTAAGAAGCTGAGTTCCACAAACCTTGAGTAGTTCAGTCCTGCCTGATTCACATTTTAATTAGCCTGAAAGATACAGAACCCACCAAAACTAAATTAGGCAATTAGCCTTCTGTCTTCTTTCATGTCAAAAAGAATTACCAAGACTTGAATTGTGACCATCGATATTACTTAAAATTATTTCCACTTCACTTTTTCATGCCATAATAATCATGGCTAGTTATAATGGTTAATCATAAGATACAGCTAATTCAAGTTCATTATTAAATCAATTAAAACAATCAGATTGTACCACTATGGAAATGTTTAGCTGCATGCACTCGTGCATGTTCTAAAATCCAAGGCTAGAGCATTTCTAAAGCTACACTTTGTTGTTTCATCATTGTGCAGCAACAATCTCCAACCAGCCAACTCCTTAGCTGTGAGCCACTGCAACAGAGGGAAAAAAATCAAATGAACAAGATGTCAATCAATTCGGTTGCACTGTAGAATCATGGGCTAAGCTGCATTCAATTCAAACTTTCTTCTCAGTTTCACAATAATGCCTGATCTTTTCATAATGCCTGATTCTTTCTTCTCAGTAAACACAAACTGTCCCAGGTTAATGGTGCTCTTTACCACATCACTGATGCCCAGATATCAAGAGATTTGGGGTAGCTGGAGAAGGCTCAATAGGCTAATATTGGAACTGTACACCTTCTACCCTGTCATACAACGTAAAGAAAAGTGGACTGTGCCACAGGCAGGAAAGATGAAAGAGAGAATGAGTAGAGACTCCCTACTCAGGAGAACCAAAAACAAAGGGTTTTTCAGCCTGGGTCTTTACAGAAAGGTGGCTCATGTTCTCAGACACAAGAAAGTAAGAAAAACAGGTAGTATCTCTACAACAAGAGCCTCTTTTTTAAATTTCCTCCTCCCCCTCCTCCTCCTCCTTTTCCTCCTCACCCTCCTCCTCTATGTCTTTCTTCCTCTCTTCCTCCTGTCTCCCCTTCATCTCCTTCTCCTCTTTTTCCACCTCTTCTATTTCCTTCTTCCTTCTCTCTTACATTCTTCATTGCGTTCTGTTTCTTTCTCTTCTTCACAGTTCCTTCTCTAGCAGAAATGCACCATGCCACCACTCACTCATCTGCAATGACCAGAAGGAAAAAAATGATGTCAACACAAATATTACAGAATTACAAATTTTAGAGAAAATCCTCTCTGTCCAGTGACATCTCAAATAATTGTACATGTTTGTACTATTTCAAATCTGTTGACATCCCTGGAAGTACATTTACAGTAGTAAATGAAGTCGATATGAATGTGAGAATAACACACTGTTATAGAGATTGATTGTGCTACTTTTGCCAGTTAGATTCAGGAAAAGAATCAGCTTGGGTGTACTATAGCATTCTCTTCTGGTATTGTGTGTCTCTGTGTTGCTTAAAAAAACAAAAAAAAAAAATTTAATGCTTATACAACATTTTACATATATTCAAGGCAAAAAGCACTGTTTTTACACTTAAAAATAATAATGTAGGTTTTTCAATCATTCAGGTATGTGTCAAACTCAAGATTTAAGGCTCTGATGTGTGGTCCTGTTCCTAAAGTAAAACTCTTTTATGAATCACACACATTACTTGTCTCTGATGTACTAACACCTAGAAATAAGTAAAATGAAAAGTTCTTTAAAAGCACAATATGAAATCATCACAATAAAAAGCCACGTGTTTTTACATATGTTATTCCTACTTTCATAATTTTTATTTTTCAAAAATTAGCATGATGCCTGATTTTAATCTTTATAGTGCTTTTTATGTTATTTTGTTTTGTTTTTGAGACAGGATCTTGATATGTTTACCCAGGTGGGCTAGAACTTACAGTCCTCCTGCCTCTGCCTCCTGAGTGCTGGGATTACTGTTGTGGATACTTTTTGGAAAGAAAAATTTTACCTAGGTTAGTTAAGACAATTCAATATAGTTATTTACAAATGTTTATTCTCCTGTTTTAAGAAGTAGCAGAAATTTTGTTAAGCTGCTCATTCATAGAAAACACACCTAAGTTCCAACTGAGAAAATCCAAAGTATAGCTATTTTTTTCTGACACAAACTTTCAATACTCAAGTGAGTCATTAGAATTTCTTAAAAGTAGTAAATAAAGTCAGTAGGGAACAGATGTGAGACATAATGCCTGATCTATATTACAATATTTTAATATGTTTAATTCTTTTCAATCATAACATTTGGTAGATCAATATAGCTTATGTGAATTTCGAAGAGAATGGTAGAAATAATTATCCCTAACTCCTCCCTTAATCTTGCCATTAACCTGGTGTTGGGTAAAGATGCCTTTATTAACAGTAGCCGTGCTGTGAGTTTTGCTCTTTAACAGTGTGCACATTCTGTGGCTGTGTGTATTTTGTCTGCCATTGTACAGGAATTCAAACCCATTGGTACCGCACACAACAGAAGGGCCCAGCCTTTTGTTGCCGCAGCAAACATTGATGACAAAAGACAGGTAGTGAGCGCTTCCTATAACTCACCAATTGGGCTCTATTCAACTAGCAATATCCAAGATGCGCTTCACGGACAGCTGCGGGGGCTCCTTCCTAGCTCACCTCAAAAGTAAGTACTGGACTCTTGGTTCTGCTCAATGTGCGCTTAATGGTGACAGTATGATTTCTTTCCCTTTCAGAAGTCCAGCTCTTGTTGTTGCCTTTTTATTTTCCTAAAGGTACTATCAGCTTTTTATTTTAAAAGACAAGCATCTAGGAACATGGTTCCGGTTGTTCTGGAGTCAGATCAACCAGTTTCTGAGGATTTAGATAAAAAGGACAAATCACTCTGGTTCTATAATCACCCTTCTTAGCCATGTCAACAGCTAATGGTATATATTCTCTCTGTACAATTATCACTCAACTGTGTTGTAAAATATTAATTTTCCACTGAGGGACTTCTTTAACCCTTTGTCTTCACAGGATGTGAACTACTTTGAACACAAGCACAATATTCGGCCCAAACCTTTCATAATCCCAGGCCGAAGCAGGTCATAAACCCTGAGATTGTGAAGTTTGATGTGCATGCTCCTTTAATCAATTCTTACTAATCACCAAGAAAAGTAACTTCTAGATGTTTGGAGTGAACTTTTTCATTGCAAGGCGTACTTCAAAAGCAAAAAGAAACAAATGCACTAAGCCAAATCATCTCCATTTCTGTGAGTAAATACAGACCAGATCATAGAGCTGTGAAATTGAGGCCATCCTCGTGTATATTTATAACTAGGACCTGCTGCTCTGAGGATTCTATCCAGAGCACAGTGACCTCTGAGTCCAGCAGACTTGCTCTATCCCAGGTCAGGAAAGCCCTTCCAACAGGGACAGAAACAGAAACCAAATTCCATCAGGCACACAGAGGCCCACAGGGCACACGTGAGAAAGCTGGTGTCCTTATGTATTTGGCAGACCCTGGTCATCCCACTTTAGTACCTGCTTCTCAGCAAACTATCAAATCTCATTAATTTTAACCCTTACATAAAAATAAACTTTCGTTTTTACAAATACTGGCAAAAACAAAAAAAGAGTCCCCTTAAAAAGAAGCTTTTTTTACTTGATTGAAAATGAACATACAGTAAGAGTTAGGAGGGAGGCAAGTGTACTGCGTACCCCAATGAACAAAGGTATAAAATTATAATACTAATAAACCAAGTCTGATTTTTCGTCTATCAACCAGATAAAATGATGATTTCTAGATAATCTTTTTCATATATCTCTAGAAATTGAACCTCAGTATGGAGAAAGGAATTACAGTAATGTGCCGTACTGCTACACTGGGCAGAAGCAACTTCAGAAAACTTCAAAGCCATTACTTTAATCTCAACTAGGTAACTTAGAAGAAAGAAGTTGGTGACTAGGCCAGACTGATCTTAACAGGTCAGGAACAATGGATAATAAATCACATCCAGTTCCAAACTGGTAGCCAAGGGTAGGCTAATTTTCCAAGCATGTTTTACTTAACTCCATTGTTTAATTTTTTTTTAATTTGTACGTCTTCAGATGGGGTTTGTAAGTGGCCATCACAATTTTTGTCATATCAGATCCAGAAGAAGCACAGGCGTGGAAGAACAGGAGAAAGTGGCTAAGCGGAGACTGACGCCCCTACCCCACCCCTGGGAGATAAACACTGTCTACACGGTCCCTGTCAGACTTGTTCCACATTCCCGACCCCAGAAACGAGGCCAGGATAGAGGAATAAATACTTAGTAAATGTGCACTGGGGCAAAGTCCTAGACGCACCAAGTAATATTTCCTCAGTATATGGTGAGAAGAGTGGGGGTGGGGAGGCATTAGCCCTCCCTCGTCCTTGCCACTCTCTGTACCTCCTTTCTTCTTCCTTTTGTTCAGTCTTTGGTCCCATTCTGTCTTCCTCTGCATCTTTCCCCCTTTTTGCTGTTCTAGTTTGAGGTGCTTCCCCACACTATCACACCTTCAATAACATAATGATACCATATTAAATGCTAAAATGCTATTTTGCTGCTGAGCCAAATTCCTTCCCAGCCAGGCAGGATGGCACACATTTGCAGTCCCAGCGCTTGGTAGACTGAGCCAGGATTGCTGTGAGTTCAAGGCCACACTGAAGTGCATAGCAAAACCCTGCCTCGAAAAGACAAAAGAAAAAAGACTTTCACAAAGAAGTATCACATAATTATATAATTATTAGTATCCTTGTGTTCTTTTGAATTTAATGTGACTGCAAATCCATTAACTCCCACCTATGACTTCAGGATGCTTGAACCAAGGCATACATTAGAGAAATATATTCCCTGCCTTTGTTTTAGATATTTCATTTTTAGAAAAATTCAGAGAGATAGAGACCTGTATCTATAATTCTTTTATGCCTCCATTTTAACTTAAAATTGTGCTAAGGACAAGTCACTTGCAAACTTATCATTTAAAGGTCTCTTTTAAAAAGCTGAATTTATAAGAGAGGAGAGCCGGGGAGACGGCTTAGTAGAATAAGTGCTTGTCTGGCAAGTGCAAGGTCCTGAGTTCAATCCCTGGTACCTCAAAATAAAGAAATAAACAAGAGAGGAGAAAAGTAATCAGAAATAGGCAGATTTACTTTAAATATAAAAAGATGCTTGTGCACTAATGCCGAAGAATCATGAAGATGCTTCTCCACTCCTTTTCTTTCTGTTCCCTCATACCATTTCCTTGTTTCAAGCTTCTTACCCTCTCAGAATGATACTTACTCTAGGCAGAATTTGGAAGGGCTGCATGCCAAGCTACTACAGCACTGTTAGTGAAGAGCTTCTTTAATCAGAAATAAAGTGAAATACTAAATTTCTACTATGTTCATCTCCCTGAGGTTTTACTACTAGCACCAGTTCTTTTCATTGTTTGATCATAACTGAAGCATTCTTTTTATGGGTAAATCTGTAAAACTGAGGCTATAATAAAAACATATACAAGCCATTAAAGATCCAAGTATTGAAATACAATTCCCCTGTGACTTTTTGGAGAACTTACACATCCAGAAGCTTACCCCAAAAAGCCTGTAAACACCTTAGAGAAGTCAGTTCTCTGTGAAGGATGCTGGCATGAAGTAATGGAGTGAATTATGTACCTTACCGGTAGTCTTTCCAAGTTGCTGAGTCTGCCTTAAGAAATCTCATTAATACCTATATTTCCAAGTCACAGGAATAGGTCATGGTGACCTATTATGATAGCCACTGTGGCTGGAGTCCATGAAAGCTATGTTATTTAAAATAGATCAAGAGACCATTTTAAGTTGTCCCAGAAATTTATAAAAGTTCATTCTTATTTTCTTAGGGTTTGTTTTCCATCGCCTAAAAGACATGAGACCCTAAACAGCATGATAAAGGAAGTAGGAAACAGAATACCCAGCTCTTGCTTCCTTCAATTTATATACACAGACATGCTGGTAGACAAGAATACTAACATCAGAAAATGATTAGTATGTACAATCACAAAATAAGGCATATCTGTAAGTTCCAGAGTGATGCTAGCATCCAGCACCTGCCTGGTAGTGAGGTCAGAGTAGTTCTAATGTTGGTTGAATTTGTTCACTATTTTGAGCCCAAATTCAATTTAATAGGCTTCATTACAGTTAGGCCTAATCAGCATTCTCTGGCCTAAACTGCACTACAACTGCCAATTAACTTCTATGCTTTTATTAGATGGAGTCAATTTCAGGAGCCAAGTTAATGTTGAGCCTCCATAAATGGTAAAGAAGGTCACTTGGCAGCTTGTCATGTCATTTAACCAGTGTACAGATTAAGTTTCAAACAGATTCTCAACAGCCAGAAAATAAAAGAGCAAGTCCATTATTCAGGCTGTGGAGGTAACCAAAACAGATAGCACAAAAGATTCTTTAAAATGTTTAAATCCATTTAGAAACAGAGACTGCACAAACTAATGAGGCTGCAACATGGATAAAGTAACAACACAAAGACACACCGCTGCCCCTCATCTTTCTCAGTGTTGCTGTCCATGTGGAGCTGAGGTTACCATTAGGAGCCTTAGAGAGCAAATGCAGAAATGGGGTGGAGCTGCGAGAACAACGACCTTGACCTTACGGAAAGCACACCGTGTGAATCTGCTCCGCCTTCAGGGCACAGCAACACTAGCAGGCATGATGGAGAGGGACAGAAATATTAGGATTTCTTTTTGCTTTGCTTTAAATGACTGCTTTTTAAAATCTCTGAGCCTATTCCGTTTTCCTCGCAGAATGTATCTCTCATGCTGCACTTAAAACGCATGTAGCAGGCTGAGGTGTAGCTCAGCAATCGAGCAAGTGCTTAGCATGCATGAGGCCTTGCGCTCAATCCTTAGCATATACAAATAAATATACATAAACATCTGCACTTGGGATTAGCTTCCTACCCGGTTTCATAAAGAATATGAAATCTCTCTAGTTTTTAAATTTGCATGCCTGGCCTTTTTGATATTTTAATAAGACCCTATAACTAAATTTTTAAAGAAAATGAAAAATATGCATGGAAATATATTTGTGCTTCCACAAATGTACATGAAATCCCTATATGGAAAGGAAATACAGCTTCGCCTGGTGGTAGCAGCCAGTCTGAGACTACCTTTTTTGTTCTCTAATTATTACTTGCAAGGTAACAAGCATTTATTGGCTGTGTCCAGATCCTGTTGTAAGCTACAGAAGTTTTATTTTTAAATAAAAGAATAAAAATATGGGCCGGGGAGATACCTCAGTGGAATAAGTGCCTGCCTAGCAAGTGCAAGGCCCTGAGTTTGATGCCCAATACCACAAAAAAATAAATAAATACCAAATAAAAATAAAAATATTGAAGCAGTAACACAGTAATAAAATATTGTCAAAATAGCCTTAACACATAATCTTTACTTAATCACCTACAAGTAGCCAATTACATTCAGTTAAAGCTCAACTACATTCTTGAAATGTACTTATTTTAAAATGTTCCTCTAAACCTTTGATTGGATCTCCATGCTACACATTAATTTAGCATTTGTAAAGGATCACTCATTAGCATTTTAAATATTGTACTTCCAAAAATATAAAATGATGTCCAGCCAGTGTCATTTTATCAGTGATATTGTCACCAATAAAGTTATTTGGCCTATTTTTTTAAAAAGTGAGGATAGCTGTATTTTATCTACTTCATGTGCAATTTTTTATATAAGTAACCCTTAACTTACCTAGTACAATAGAGCCAACAAATGCAATAGTACCTGCATCTTTTAATTTTATTAAACTTTCTTCAATGATGAATATTTAAACATCACCCTTTTTTAAAACAAAGTCTAGGCAGTATATTAGTTCATACAATTTACCTCTCATTTTTTGTCTTCAATTCCGTTTAACCTCTCTGTACTTGTTCTCTGTGTCTTCTGGTTCCTCGTGTCATCGCTGTGTCACGTGGTCACTAACACAGTGGATGCAGCACGCCCTCCGGTATTGATGGTGGCAGTGGACGTAGCACCCCTTCTTCTGTCAGTACTCTTAGTACAATTTGTCCAGGTGACTTGAAAGTTGCTGCTAAGATGGCCCCTAACATTCCTTTGGAAATGGAACTTCCCGGTGTGAAGATTGTACATGCTCAGTTTAATACGCCTATGCAGTTGTACTCAGATGACAATATTATGGAAACACTTCAGGGTCAGGTTTCAACAGCTCTAGGGGAAACTCCCTCAATGAGGTAATATGAGTCTTTCTGAACCGTGGGCATGTTAACTAAACACATGGGCAATGTCAGCTTTCATGGTGTCTCTTTATCAAAGTCTTAATGGAAAAAAGGTTATGGGAAAAGCTTTAAAGAAAAAATACTGAAGGTTTATTGCAAATATCTAAAGTGATGATAAACATGATTTGAAGAATTATCTATATAGAATAATGTAGGAAATAGCAATAAAATGAAATAATACAAGGATGAAATGTGCATATAGTTTAAAAGCAAGTGTGTTTTATAAATATCTGATTTAGAACTTCCTAAAAGTGATTTATAATCTAGTATATCCTATGTATGTATTTGGGGGTCAAAATTATGGAAGAAGGTTGGGAGGGTCAGAGGACTTCTTAATAAGATGATGCCACTTCTATCTTCTAAAGGAAATGTGTGGAGAGGTAATTATATTTCCATTTAAAATGTTTGTCTTGAATAGTTTTATACGTAAATACCTCAGGTCATTAATGTGTATGTTTAATTCCCTCTGACCTTTATTTTTACTTATCTCTTCTATATTCTGAATCTTTGCCTCAAGAACTTGTGCCACAAAGTTTTTCTTTTTTTTTATGAAGTTTTTTCAATTAAATTTATTATAGAATAAAATCATATTACTTCTTTCAATATTGCAGTACCACTGGTATTTCAATATCACTTTTTATAAATTGTTGGGATGCTTAAGAGCACTATGTAACAATATTATAAAAATATCTCTGGATGAATACATTGAGTTAATAATATTCCTAGATCACTTTTCAAAAAATTCCATCTAAACAAAATGGTTGTTTTCAAAAATAAACACTTAAAAATATATGCAGGTAACTATTATTTCTAAACAGTACAGTTAAATGGCATAAAGTAATAAAGTATTAAGTGCCTGAGAAGTACTATTATGACAGTATTTTATTCATTATAAATATATTTATAGGAAGCATGTTAAGTAAAGCTGCTATTGTTGCTCTTAATGAATTTTAATGTGGCTATTTTAGAAATATAAGATAATCAACTTAATACATATAGAGCCCACAAAAAGTTTGCACATTCCTGCAGTTTGCTATAATAATAAATGTCTGGAAGCTAATAGTTGCCACTTTGAGCAATCTTGTAATTGTAGAGGACAAAGGTAACTTGTATTAATCTCATCATGTCTCAATAAATTTTGTATTAACATAGTTATACACATTTTTCTTTTCCTGATATATACATTTTTGAAGGAGTCTGTTGATAAATGTTTCCACATATTTTCAAAGACTGACAAATTGAAGTTTATCAATTTATAAGTTAAATGATATATCAGTTAGTTCTAGGACTTAAAATAATCTTAAAAACAAAATTAAGCAATTTACTCTTAGTTTAATATCAAAGGTGAATCTAAAAGCTAATAACATTGTCAAGAAACAAATAAATAAAATTTTCATGCCTAATAATCAAACTGGGTTTACTCCTGCACTATCACATGTATATTATTTTTTCCTGAGAACAGTTAGTGTCTTTCATAAGATGTTTGTGTTATAAGGCACAAGTCTTACTTTTTTTTAATTACCATTTTTCAACAATCACTTTTTAGTCATTGTGGGACTTGGGACTCAAAAGTATTCTGTCCCAAGTCAACAGTGCTGATGTGATCCCTAGATTTATGGCTCAATGACATTTTTAAGGCATCCCATGTGAATTCACATTTTATTTAAATATTCACTTGAAAGTAAGTCCCTAGTCAGCACTGCTGTAAATGTGCTGACAGCGGCCTCTCCATGCTCCTGAGGGTGTTTCACTTGCCATCCTTGTCTCTCAGTGAACCTGTGGCCTCAGCACCCCCTCAATCAGATGTGTACCGGATGCTCCATGACAATCGGGATGAACCTGCTCAGCCTCGCCAGTCAGGCTCCTTCCGGGTGCTCCAGGAACTGGTGAATGAGGGTGAGCATGCGCATGCGTCTGCTGGCACGTAATTGATAGAAGCCACTGAAAGGATGGAGGAAAGGGAGGGTGGCAGACGTGCTGGGGATCAAAGTCTAAATATTGTTTTTAATCAGGAATCAGGGATGGTGCCTTGATTAGGAAAAGAGCCTCCGGGACGTGTTCAAGTAGTCACAAAATGCAAGCAGTCATTAAAAGGCAACAAAGACAAATTCCGTGAATCCTAAGAACCACTCTTAAACATATATTACACACTTTCTCAGTCTCCCCCAGCACTTCAGGGTATCATCAACATCAAAGTTAAAAAATACCATAATGAACCTTTACTGTGTGCAGAACTCTATGTAAAGAATCTCATGTACGTTATCATTTAATTTCACAAAGTCACAGTGAAGACCAACACATGAGAATCTGATATACAGGGAAAACGGGTTTGTACAAGGCCACGTGGACCCTAAGAAGCAGAGCTGGGCCTCTGGCCCGTTCCTGCTGTTTCTTGGGCTTAAACGCTTACACCTACCTTTTCACCCTTACAGATATATATATATATTGACCTTTAAAAATAACAGAAAAATGCAAAATATCTCATAAGCATGTGCATAACAACAAGAGGAAACAAGTATTGATGAGGATATGAAAAGGGGAACCTCTGAGCACGGCTGATGGAAATGTAAAATGAATGATACAACCACTGCAGAAAACAAACTGCTAGTCACTCAAAGAAGATACACAGAGAATTCACACATGAGCGAGCAATTCCCACTCCCTATGCCCAAAACTAGGAACTCAAACACATACGTGTACACCAGTGTTCACACTATTCACAGAGTCCAAAGTTAGAAAAAAGTTGAAATATCTATTGACAGGTAAGAGAAGAAATGAAACAAAATGTGACATGTACCACTCTCATTCAGCCTTAAAAAGGAATGAAATTCTGATACATGCTGTGCCACAGATGTACCTTGAAAACATGCTAAGTGAAAGCAATCAGACAAAACAGGCCAAATATTGTTTGGTTTACTCATAGAAGAATCTATGTCTATGTACAGATATGCATAAATTCAGTTCTTTACTACTCAGTCTTCTATGTTCTTTTTTCCCTTTTAATTTTCATATGAACTTAAGAATAAAATCTAATTTAATTAAGAAAAGAAATCTACAATAGACAAATTCATAGTGACAGTGAAATAGAAGTCACCAGAGGCTGTGAGGATGGAATGGAGAGTTATTATTTATTAGGTACAGTGTTTCTATCTGGGATAATGAAATAGTTCTGAAAGTGGATATTGATAATGGTTGTGTAATACTGTGAATTACTTAATGCCATGGAATTACACACTTAAAAGTCGTTAAAATGGTAAAGTTTAGCCAGTGTGATAGCATACACATGTGTAACTCCAGCTGTGTGAAGGTTAAAGCAGGAGGATCACAAGTTCAAAGCCAACCCGAGCAACACAGCAAGACCTTGTCTCAAAATAAAATTTTATAAGGAGGGGCTGGGAAGCAGCTTAGTAGTAGAGTACTTCTCTCACATGCCCAAGGTGCTGGGTTCAATTCCTAGTTCCACCAAAAAAGAAAAAAGGAAAGCCTTGTGTATATCTTCCACAATCAGAATGAAAATGAGAGATAACCTCTGCTGCTCTGAGCGTTTTACTACAAGTTCCTCCAACAATAGCAAGACTGTTCTAAGCAAGTCTATTTCAAAAGCCTCTTTTGCAGAACCGAGTCTCTGCTGCTCTCATTGGTCCCACTCCTTGGAAAATGATAGTGCAGATGCAACTTCAGAATTCCTTAGGTTAAAGCACACATTTTGTCCCTAAAATACAAAAAAAAAAAAAAAAAAAAAAAAAAAATACGAACAATTTAAAAAATAAAGTGCACACTTGAGAACAGAAGCCTGGTGCAGACAGGAGCCAGCTGTCCCCTCACCACAAATGGAAATTTTGTTTTTCAGATGACCGTCCAGCGGGGACTCGCAGTGTGAAGGCTCCTGTAACCAAACTCCATGGTGGAGCCGGTGGCGGCGCTCCAAGGATGCCACTCTGTGACAAATGTGGAAGCGGCATTGTGTATGTCTCATTTTTAAACCAAGAATTCACTTTAGAAGGCATTTCCTCTACTTTAAGACTTATATAGAAAAGGCAATTATGAAAAACTTAGATTTCTATTCATCAGTTTGAAACACAATCTTTTTTTTAATTTTATTGATAAACAGCAATGAGACAGTTTCAAATCAAATCGGGAGTACAATTTCAACAAATAACACACTGCATATATTCTTCTTAGTGGTTAATTGCTGTACAAGATGCGGACTTGAGATCCTATTTACAAACACCATTAGAACAAGTCATTCTATTCATTAAGAGAATGCAACTATATATCTATCCTAACCACTTTGAATACACAGATACAAAATGGACATTCATCTGTATACCCTATTTTTTCTAAGTTCCGTTATTGAATATTATAGGTGTGTAAACTCAGCAAAATATTCCAAAAGAGTCCAGTAGACCATAATAGCACTGGGTCTTCTGTTTAACTGGTAATGTCATAAATTATTGACCTGAGTCCCCCACAGCTCAACATAATAGCATGACTTTACTTCCTATATTTCGTCTTCATACTTTTCTACTGGATGGTTAAGACCAAGGTAAAGCAGGACCTGTGCAATAAGAGTTGTAGCTTTTTGGTCTGGGAAGGTCAGTGAAATGCCCTCAGGATTTACCCTGAGATCCTGTACCTCAGATTGTAGAATCTTTGTCAGTGTCAGCCATGTGGATGAGTCACGGCCAATGCTTGGCCAATGTGCTCTCTGTGAAACACAATCTTCACTTTTAGCATGTTTTAACCAACATTCCTTAGCTGTAAATCCAAACTGACATATAATGGAAATCAGCAATCTTAACTTTACTCTTAGATACACCCTTGGAGGTGGAGGACACTTGCCCAAATGTGTATTTAAAACTTTCCAGGAATCATGATTTCACTTTAAAAAGTACCCCCCAAAGCCCTCCCTTTGTGTGTGTACAATCTTCAAATACTTCCTTTTTTATATAAACACAGGGAAGCAAACAGGAGTCATCAAATAATAAATCAAAACATTATTTTCGTCCAATTTCTTGGATCACACAAATAAAATACTTTCTACAGTCCACCTCTACTTCCACTCCCTTGGACTTGCTGTTTAAATAGCCTCACTTGTTATTCTAATCTTCGCTGAACCAGATGATTTTAATCTCACTGCTGGGCCTGTCCTGCGTGGCCACTTCTCCACCCTTTCTTCTGTTCCTCTACCTCCAGCTAAGAAACTGAGGTAACGTCTGCCCAGTTATCCAGGCCACAGTGCAAGGAGGAAGTGGGGGAGGACCCTGGTTAGAACCAAGGGCGAAATGTGGGGCAGGAGGGAAAAGCAGGGCAGGGGGCACGGCAGCAGAGAAACCCTCAAAAGATACAACAGTTCTCAGTGTCTCCAAAAGCAGTTGTTGTTCCTGAGTCGGAGTACACTGTTTCCAAAGTCCATCCAGCCCCTGAGAACGGAGGGGCTGGACCACCAAAAAAGAAACTCAGCAAAGGGGCCTTGAGCTGTGGAACCCCCGCTGGGTCAAAGTCTGACTCCCTTCGCTAATCTCTCTTCCAAACAAACTGGGCAAAGGACCCTACTCTTGTTATATTCGTCATTTGTTTGAAAAGCTATGACACAGTCACACAACAAGGTCAGAGAAACACGGGGAGCTCCTTAGCTCCTCTTCCACTCCCCCTGGCAGCCCCTCTTCAGTGAGAAGCCTCGCAGCCGCGGCTGTGTCCTCCGATAGTGTGCGCCCCTTGTGTGTCCCTTACGCTGTCTCTCACTCGGCCTCCTTGTTGTTGATCCCAACAGGGGCGCCGTGGTGAAGGCGCGGGATAAGTACCGGCATCCCGAGTGCTTCGTGTGCGCCGACTGCAACCTCAACCTCAAGCAGAAGGGCTACTTCTTCGTGGAGGGCGAGCTGTACTGTGAGACTCACGCCAGAGCCCGAACAAGGCCCCCAGAGGGCTACGACACGGTCACCCTGTACCCCAAAGCTTAGATCCTCTGCAGGAGCGAGCTCGCACGCACGCACGCACGCAGGCACACACGCACGCACGCATGCATGCACGTTTACATGAGAAAGGTGTGAGTGGCTCCTGACGGGGGAATGGCAAGCTGTGGACGCCGACTCTACAGCCACGGCTTTTAGACATTCATTTATCATGCTGTGTCCCAAGGAAAAGAAATGGAAGGCAAATGTCTGCTCTCTAACGAAAGCGTGTTTAACTATGTGTTGCAACTGCTTTTATCTTTGGTGATAGCAATAATGACATTTAAAGCAATAATTTGTGTATGTCATATGCCACAATTGACATTAGTAGGGTGACCAACCAACGTGTAAACATCAAGATATCAGAGGGATTCCATTGTTGTTCTGTGAGAAATTGATTTTTACAATTGTAGATATACGATACCAAATATAATCTTGTATTCTGGCATATTTTAACTACTATAATGCATGTCAGGGAGAAATTCACAGGATTTCTCTAGGCTCTTATCCAAGCAACTGTATGCAAAAACATGTAATAAATACATGAAACATTTTTAAAATATGTAATGAAGTAGTGCTCAATGAATTCAGTTAAAGTCATTATTTCCGTGAGAGGGCTCAGTCATATCTTGGCATGCACATTGCCAGCTCAATATTTTAAGAAAAAAAATATATTTTAAGAAATATTTCTTTTAAAAAAAAAAAAGAAATATTTCTTTGGTTTTTTCGCTTGAGGTTCTGGGGATTGAACGTAAACACTTCACACTGAGCTCAGACCCCAGCCACTTTTTTATTTTTTATTTTGAAACAAGGTTTCCCTGGCTGGGCTGGGCTTCAATTTGAAAGCCTTACATCTCAGGGTTCCAAAATGTTTACATTTGTAGCAAGTGCCACCACTCCCAGCTCCTTTAGTTTTCATAATTCCCTATTTCTCATGGCTCCAAAAGATTTGCTGATAGGAAAAAAATTAATTTGCTAATTAATGATAATTCACTCTCTTTCCAACTAAAGTTGTATTTTGGTTTGACATAGGCTTTTCCCATTGAAATGCCTCTTTCAGATAAACATTCAGCCCAAAGTCTATCAGGCTTTCTCTACATGCTCAATGATTTACCAATGCTGCCTCCTCCCCAAGGTGACCATTTGGGGACCTTCTAAAGGAAACAGGAGCTGCTTCCTGGTTTCCTAGGGTCCTGCTTATGTCTACTGCTAAAATCCATAGCTCTACTTAAAGTCTGTCTTCTCAGCATAGTTGGAGCCAGGCAACAATGCCCCCTTGTCCACCTCAGAACTCTTAGCTCAGCCCTTCAAGGAGAGACAACTCCTCTGCATCACAGCACGAGCTGTGTGCCCTCTGCCCTCTGGCCCAGATGTCCTGGTGGGGGGCTCTGCTTGGAGTTACCCTCTTCCCATCAAAGGTGGTCCCATGACTTACAACTCCTACCTGTTTTCTCTGTTGCTCACCAGGGATGCATGGGAACTTTCAAAACTGCCCTTTAGAAGTTCAAAGCCTGGGGAGGCAGCAGGGCTCAGGGATGAGGGCCTTCTGGAGCCCTCTCTTCCCTACCTTATCACACACACATGTGCTGCCAACTGGCCTGGAACAAGGGTCCTCCTCCCATTGGGACACCAGCTTTATTACTCCACAGTTCTTCCAAACTTAGCTAAAAATTTCTGACCCCCAATGCCCCAGAGCTCTCACCCAGTGAGAGGAGCCAGAGTATCTACCGGGCTCCTTTTAAGCATTTAAGATTTCAACCCTCCACCAAAACATAAATTTATTAAAAATATGAAAAAAATAAACTATTAAGATCAACGATACGAATGTATGCAAAATACAATGATTTTTATTCAGTGGTTATTTTCAAAAGTTTTTTCCAGGAAACTTAACAGTTTGGAAGCTGAAACTCAGATGAATGGTAACTGACTTTGAAAACCAAAGAAAATTAACACCCAAAGTAGCAAAGGAGAAAACTAAAAACCAACCCAATTTACTCTGCAGAATCTTAAAAGATTAAGAAAATTAAAAGCACCAGACACTTCTGGACGAGAGGATAAAGGTGGACTTATCCTCAGAAGCTATTTAAGCACTTAGTCTCTAGAGGTTTCCCTTGCACACTACTGAGAGAGGATGAACTGAGAGTAAATGATGCAAGAGAAGTCTATATATTAGACATTATATTAGCCACAAACGTACAATGTGCATTAGACATTAGATGGTATTTTCTTAAAATTATAATTCAGATGTAGCAGAGTATATAATTGACTCTCCAATTCCAGATTTAGAAATGAAACATTTTATAGTAAAAATGAAATAGCTCTAATCTCTAATTTAGGTATCTTAGACTATATCACAAAGGTTTGTGAAGCATGCTCCTTTTTTGACGATTCAATCTACAAACTTAAACATAGTAGATAAATTAACTATGGAGATAGTAAATAAAAATATTCATTTGCTATATGTAAGTTGTTTTAAAATGAAAATGGCAGTATTGAAATGGAAAGGAATTAAAACTTTTTTCCTTAGAAAATAGGAATTTTTTAATGTATTTGATACAAGGTCTCACTATGCAGCTCAGACTCATAGTGATCCTCCCAGTCTCAGCCTCCCAAGCACTGGGATTACAGGCATGTGCCACCATGCTCAGCACACCAGGGGGTGGGGCTGGTGGGGCCTGTGGTGCTGGGGATCAAACCCCCATCTCTGTGCTTGCCTAAGAAGGCCCATAGTCTGCTGAGCTAACTCACTGACCCTCCTTAGAAAATAGATTTAACCACTGTATTCAGATTTATGTATAAGCCCTTGTAAGATAATGACAATCGATGAAAATAGCCATGATTAGGAACTGAGCTTCTGTGAACTTAGACTTCATGATTAATTAAGCTGTTTATTCATGCAAACATATGAAGAAAATTGTTACACTCCACCATTAGGGTGACTGATTGAATGGGAACGAGGCTGGTTCTCACGTATTTTTGTACCTGTGTAAGCAGAGTCAGGCAAAGCGTAACAGTTACTGTGCCCCACTAGCTTTCTCTTCATCCCTACAAAGAGCTCTCCTAATTTCCCAACTTGGGCATATTCCAAAGTAAGCAGAGCAGAGTACTGGGTGTCTCTATTAATAGCTTTATTTACAAATATTTATCAGGGTGTCTCTGAACAGGTCTGATTTCATTCCTAAGAAAAACTGCAACTTGCAACTCTTACTCTTCATAATGATAACATGACCTGAGGAGTTTTTTATTTCTGCTGTGTCATCTGTACCTTAGTATAAAAAAGAAGACTGAATGTAGAATGAGGGCCTCTCAGGATTTGATACAATTCAAATAAACAAGCTGTTTGCCTGACCTACGTGGTTACGCCATAATCGTGCTCTCAGGGCTCCATCCACTGGGGAAAGCATTCAATATTTATCTTGAACACACACAAATTTAGAAACCTTGAGTCATAAAAGTCTTTTGGAAAAAAATATAAACAGCAAAATAGTCTTCAGTCTACTTATACAAATTAACTTTTTGTCAATTTTACTTTTTGTGACAGGGTCTGACTATGTAGTTCAAGCCTTGAACTCATTATGTGGTCCAGGCTGGTCTCAGAGTAGTGGCACTCCTCCTGCCTCAGCCTCCCGAGGGCTGGTATGACCGGAATGCACCACACCATGCCTGGAACAACTTAGCTTTTTAAAGCTGGCCAGAATGCTTCACGTAGTTTATTTCAAAATGAAGTACCTGTGTGATGCAGTCACTTCACTGGCCCATGATTCCCTGATGACAGTTCAGGTTACTTCTTCAGAGGGGGGAATGTTGTAGGCAGGTAAATTAGACAGAAATATTGTAGGCAGTTAGACAGGGCCAGGCCCTCAAGGAGACAGCACAGATGACAAGGTACCTTGCAACTATGAGAGAGACGCTACCTGCTGGCTGCAGGATAAACTCCTGCTCTCCTTCAGACTTTTTAGAAATATTATCATTCATTTGATTGCTTGATTAACAAAGTCAGAAAATTAACGTTAACTTTTCAAGTACCCGAGAATATTGTCTATTTAAAGAAAATGTCCTAAAACATATTTTCTTTCCTCTAGGAATAAGGCATTTATGAGAAACCAAAGTACAGTTCCATGTCCTTTATTTATAAAAAGTACAATTTTGATACCTAATTTCTATCTCCATAAGTATCTTGGATAAATAGATTCTAATCTAAGATTATGTAGAAAGCAAAATGGTCAATAAATAAAGATTTTTAAAAGAATGCAAAATGATTATGACATAAGGGAATGAAACTTCAGACCTGAAAGTTACCCGGGACAACTTCATGTTCTCTAAAACCAATGAATATTAGGAACAAATGGAGGTTAAGGGTGGAATTTACTTGGGGAAAGAAAGCTTTTGTGCTGCAGAGGAAGAGAAGAGAGACCCGAGTGGGTTGCCCTGCTAAGCTATCTCTTCCAGGGACTTTTACTGAGTGAAACCATGCAGTAAGGCAGGTCTAAGGTGGAGAACATGAGAACTCACTTCGGTGGGCATGAGGTGGAACAAAACTATGGTCAACCAATGAGATTACAGGCACATTGCTCAGGTAAAATTGATCAAATCCCAAGCTAAAAGAGGAAGCGAGTCACATAGCAAGTATGAATATAAAACAGGAATTTATCCGGTAGCCGGTAGTAGCCGGATTAGCGACTTTTTCTGGCTTCCTCAAGGTGATGATCAGTCTTAGGTCTAGCCCACGGCGGGAGCATCCATCCCTCTTACAGTTGTAAGGTATCATATCTTCCATGTTATCTCGTTACAGGCCTAGCCCTGTCTGACTGCCTATAATATTCTATCTAACTCAGCTGCTTACAATATTCATATGAGGATAAAGCTTATTCCTTTTGTATTATTTGTCTAGGGGAGAAGTATATGCAAGTTATCTATTTCCGCCCCCACCAAGAGCAAGATTATATTTTAAGTTTAAAAACTACCTCAGATTCCCATTCTACCTCCTACTGTGACACACAAGTTGGTGTGCACAAGCACATGTGTGTTACCTAGCATGTGTATTTGTAGCAAGCTGTGCACATATCTGTGTTTCTCTCAAGCACAGAGGACCCAGCTAATGTCACGTCTCAGTTCCACCATTCCCACTAGTGTTGCACAGTCAAGCTACAGATACTCTTCTTGTGTCTTGGGCTCCCACTGCTGCCAGGTTCCCAAAGCTCTCAAACATCACCCTTCAGGATCACCGCTTCATGCTGCAAACCTTCCATCCTTCCCTGTCCCGACTTCTTGTCTTTGATCCCAAGTCAATAAAGAGTTCTATTTTCCTGATCTTTTTTTTAGTGTTCTTTCATTGTGATAATTATGTACCATAAATTTTAACATTTTCAAGAATATAATTCAAGGGCATTAAATATATTCATCATGCTGTACAACAATCCTAAATACCTATTTCTAGAACTTTTTGTCTTCCCTAAACAGAAACTCTACACCTATCAAATAATAATTCCTCCACTCCCCTAACCACCATCACACTTTATGACTGTGCTCATGCATATTCCAGAATTTGTCGTTTTGTGCATCCTGTT